TTCTAATGGGAAAAAAGAAGGAACCCCACCGGGCCTTACTGAGTTAGGAGGCCGTGGCCGTGGGAGGACCAGGCCACAGAGCCTCCGGCAGGCCCCCACTCCCCTGGTCTCCACTCGACCTGCTGAGGGAGAGGAACTTCTTCCAGACCCTTCTCTCACACAGGGTCAAGAGGTGCTCCACTGGGCTCTGTGGTCTCCACAGGGAGTACCCTGGCTCAGCCCCACTGAGCCGAGTGACAGCAGCCAGGCCCTGACCCCCCAGGTCTCACCAGCACCAGCTCCGGACACACAGGTGGCTCTGGTCTGTGGGTGGCCTGGTGCCAGGCGCTGGGGTCCAGCACCACGGAGCTCACTGTCCAGCAGGGGCGCACCCGTGTCCAGAGGCTATCTGAGCACCATGGGAGCCCAGGGCATAAGCCCCACGGGGGTCCCAGGACTTCTCTGGGAGCAAATTGGCCTGAGCCATTTCCCTTGTAAGTGGAAACAGTGGGGACAGCAACCTGGTGACCCAGGGTTGTCATAAAGACTGACTGGGCTTGAGACAGGAGCTCTGAAATGGAAGGGGACCCTGATGCTGGGTTGGCACTCCCTCCAATGCAATCCCACAGCTCCCAGGCCAGCCCCGCACCCCGACCGTGAACCTGCCCTGCGGGAGCACCCACACCTTAGGTCAGGGTGCTTGGGGTCCTCAGGGGCGGCACCCGCCAGAGGCCCCATCTCACATCTGGGCCCTGCTGGGCAAAGCTCCTCTCATAGCCACAGCCACTGTGGTGGAGGGAACAGAACCCCTGGCCTCCTCGGGAATTCCAGGGGCCCTGCAGTTCAGGCAGAGATGGACAGAGGCAGCAGAGTGGGTCCCACCAGCTCAGTCTATTGGGGACGATGCGGGGAAGCAGGGTCCCCAGAGGGAAGGAGAGGAGGGTGGACGGCCTGGCCCTCGGGTGCTGGGGACCCCACGTGAAGTCCAGCCTGGGATTCACGGCCCCGGGGTGAGCAACATCCACACCAGGTCCCAGGCCTGACCCCCAGAGAGGCGCCCGTGCCCGGCTGTGTCCCGGGGGCTCTCTGGGTACCGGGCACGCCCGGACCATGGGACCCGGGGGCCTAAGCTGTGCCAGGTCAGGTGTCACGGGGAGCCGGGGGGCGCCCTGCCCAGGGTGCACATGCTCGGGGGTCTGCTGAGCAGCAGGAGAATGCTGCTGCCGGGTGCGAACACATGTGTTGTGGAAAATCCACAAAATGGAGAACCGAAAGTTGGCCCTTCTCCCAGGCAGCCTGGCCCATGGGCCATACCAAGCAGAAAGGAAGGGGGGGCGCATCCTGGAATGTACCACTGGCTTCCCCCCATCACTGCTGTGCATGGTCTGACCCCCCACCCCAGAGGCTGACGGTGAGCCCTTCAGGGGCACTCCACCCAGAAAGAGGTGATCCCCCAGGCACAGAGCCCCGCGGGTCAGGCCAGCCTGAGGAGCCCATGGTGAACAACGGCCTGCCTCAGTTTATCCCTTACGTGCAATGGGCAGGCGCTACTGAACAACCAGCACTCAGTCTCAACGCAGGTGACCCCTGGCGCTGTGACTATCCAAGGGAAGGGGAGGGGGACACACAGTGAAGCTTTCAGAATCCTTCCTGTCATAGCGTGTCATGCAGAACTACTATGACACGCAATATGTTCGGGTCCTCAGCTGTGGATTCTAGGGGGACAATTTTCCCGACTTTAACGAGGGGAGACGGGGTCTTGGCACATTCAGCAAAGAAGACAATGGAGTCCGAGTGAGCCGGGACAATGCAGAGTCTGAAAACAGGCCCACGCACTCAAGAGCCCAGCGTGTGATAAAGACAGCCCAGTCAGTAGGGGCAAGAGTGGCTTCCGCGGGAAATGGAGTCGGGGTAACCTATTTGGAAAAGCAGTTTGGGTTCTCACCACACTCCTTCCCAGAAGCACTTTCCAAAATTAGACCAAAAGTTTAAATATATATGTAAAAAAGAAACCATTACATTTCCAGAAAAACACATCAAATGCTTTATAATCTTGGAGTAAAGAAAATATTTCTGAGCATGACACAAAATGCAGAAGCCATAAATGAAAAAAACTAATAATGACTAATAATGATTTTAAATGCTTAGCAGAAATAATAATGAATTTTTTAGAAATCGAAGGGAAAAAAAACACAGTCCTAGGTCAAAAACAAATTATAGATTGGGGGAAAAACGATTTTAACAGGAAATGGGCTAATTTCCTTAATACATAAAGTGCTCCTAGCAAACAATAACACCAACAACCCAATGGAAAATGGTTGAAGAATATGAAATACAGGGGCGCCTGGATGGCTCAGTTGGTTAAGTGACTGCCTTAGGCTAAGGTCATGATCCTGGAGTCCGGGGATCGAGTCCCACATCAGGCTCCCTGCTTAGCAGGGAGTCTGCTTCTCCCTCTGACCCTCACCCCTCTCATTCTCTCTCTTGTCATTCTCTCCCTCTCAAAAATAAATAAAAAATTTTAAAAAATAATTAAAAAAAAGAATATGAAATACAAATGGCTTTTAAATATGTACATGTTTATAATAAATACAGACTTTCCCATTTTGAAATGATTATGAGTGGTAAAAATAATCAACATAAAAACAAATCTGACAAAACTATTGATATGTTTCATTTCACTTCTAGGAAACACAAGTAAGCTACAATGAAATACTATTTTACCCCTACCAGATCTGCAAAATCAGGCATCAGGGGTGGAGGACACTAGGCCCCTCCTTCCTTCCTTGGTGGGAGGCAATTTGGTATGACCTGTTAAAGATATCAGGCACACATTTAGAGACCTATGAAAAGCCCTTTGACCTATCACTCCTGCACTAAAGAATTTAGCCTACAGAATAGTCCTACTTGGATACAAAGACATTTGTACAAGGATAATCAACCTAGTATTGCTTGTTACAAAAAGACTAGAAAGAACCTAAATTTCTACCAACAGGAAACAATAAATATAGTACTAATACAATATGGCGCAGCAATTAAAATGAATGACCCAGATCTCTATGTCAGAACGTGGAGAGCACTCTCCAAGCTATGTTGACTAAAAGGATCCCAGGTAAAGGGAGCGAAGTTTTGTGTAAACACATCAGATGTATATGCATAGATTTTCTTTGTTGACACAGGAGAAACTGCCCCAGGAGAGGGGAGCCAGGCCTTGGAGGTCAGGGGTGGGAAGGATGCCAAGTCTTCCCCCAACACCCTTCCGGACTCCAAATTTTTTACTCTGTGTATCTGAAAACATTTTTGTTCCAATTCTAAACAAGTTGTTTTCAACTTACTGCATTTGTGGAGCTCTGGCCCTGACGGGGTCAAAAGAACATGCTCTGTGACAAGGGCAGCAGGGGGAGGGGGGGGTGTGCTTTGGGAAAGAAACACTGTAGCAACAGACCCGTTGAGAAACATTAGCCATGCTGGGGTCATCTGCACAAGGCCAGGATGTAGGAAGGGCCTGTCAGCCACAACGACCAGCCTGTGCAAAGGCCCTGTGGTGGGGAGGGCAGATGAGAGCTAGGCCCGTAGACATTCTCTACTCTACTGAGTACACATCTCGCGTGTACTCAGTTTTGCTTCTTCGCGTCCCTTAGTATCAAAAAAGGCCCTAGACTCCCAGCAAGAAGGGCACGTGGGGCTCGGGGGGGACGAGGCACCAGCAGCAGGCTCCACTGCCCATCCCCAGACCAGGGCACTTTGCTGTGTTAGAGAAGGACCGGCCGGGACCCCCCAGGCCCAGGGGCGGGCTTAGTCCGGACAGCAAGCCTCGAGGGAGGGGCGTCCTCGCGCGGTCCGGCGGGCGGGCCCCCACCCCCCGTCACCGCGACAGCGGCGGCACGGCCGCGCGGCCCGCTCCTTAGGTGCCTCGCGAGCATTCCAAGTCCCCTGCGCACCAGTCCGGAGTTCCAGCCGCGAGCAACGGAAAGCCCCGCGGAGCAAAGCCCCGCTCGCTGTCCACGCCGACACCGACGTCTGCGCTGGGCCCGGGCCCTGCGGGCGGGGAGGTCGAGGCGCGCAAGGAAGACGCGGGCACCAGGCGGGCTGCCGGGGTCCGAGCTGCGGCCACTTACCGCCTCCTCCCGGGTCCGGTCGACGGCGGCCGCCGCCGCCGCCGCCGCCGCCGCGGCCGCCTTCGCGCGCGGAACCCGCCACTTCCGCTTCCGCCCAGACCGCGCCCCCTCCTGTCGTCCCCGCCCCCAGAACGAAGCACCGCCCTCTCTTAAAGGGGCCGCGGGACCCAGGAAGCCCCGGACCAGGCGGTGGAAGTAGCTCTGGGTCTTGGCCTCCCCACCGCCTGCTGCAGCAACACGGGCTAAGTCGCCACGGACGACAGGCCACTCGTCTCCGAGGCCCTTCTCGCTCTGGGGGGGCACAGAGGACACTCCAGGGGCTGGTGGTGAGGTCCAGGGAGACCCTGGCTCAGCCTTGCCTTCAATGGCACCCCGGGAGGACACGCTCCGATGGCCCCAAGGCGGGAGTGCTCCCTGTACCCCAGTCCCAGCCCCCTTTCCTGGGGAGACCCTGCTGGGCCTTTGGACCGGTCAGGGCCAGGGCGGGCTCCCTTGGCTCTCTGTGCAAGGGACGGGGGTGAGGACAGGCAGGACAGCTAAGGCAGCCCAGCGACCGCACTGCACCGCCCAGACCTTGCGTCCTTATCTACCACATGGGAGCGGAAGGGGCCCCGGCCCCAGAGCAGACGGAGCACACCGCCCTCCCAGGAGGCACATGGGACCAAGCCGGCAAGGGTCCTGGGTTCAAACGCTGCCTACCCCTCCATCACCACCCAACCAGTAGCCTCAAGGGGTGGAACTCCGGATGGGACCCAAACCCACCCCCTCTTCCGCAGGGACAGCGACCTGACCCCTGCGTTTGTGCCAAAACGTCCTGGGAGTTTGGGGGCAAAGCCCCGCCCCCTTGTCCAACTCGCTGGGCCCTGAGAGAGCATGCATGAACCGCCAAAGGGAGAGGAACCCTAAAATTTTAAATCTTTAATTTGTTTTCACGTTTTTCCTTCTTTTTGCTTCCAAAAGGAAAGGAGAGCGTAGCTCTGAGCCTGTACATCGTCCACGGCCCCGGCCCCGGCCCCCTACCCTCCAGCTGCCTTGGAGCACTGGGGTGCCGGGGTGGGGGGTTCACATGCAGCCCCCGGCCCGAGGCGGGGGCAAGGTCCAGGCACCGCCTTATTGCTGAAGTCCCCGCACGGCTCGGGGCCAGGCTAGGCGCGCTGGCTGGGCAGCTCCTGGGCGATGAAGCGGCGCAGGCGCTCCAAGTACTGGCTGTACAGCTCGATGTCGTTGTGCCCAGCGCCCTCCACCCACAGCGGCTCCACGGCCTTGGGGCAGCGCTCATAGAGTGCCAGCCCGTGGGAGAAGTCGATCACTTCGTCCTCCGTGCCGTGGATGATGAGCACCGGTGACGTGATCTTGGACACCTTCTCGATGCTGTAGGGCAGGGCACGTCAAGGCTGGGAGCAGCGCAGCGCCCCGCAGAAGCCCCACCCCCCGCCTCCCGCCGCGGCCACCCCCATCCGTCCCTCTCTCACTTGGGGAACGCATCGAAGCAGTAGGTCTTCTTGGTGTCAGGGAAGGCAACGCGCATGCCCGAGGTGAGCGGAGAGTGCAGCACCACGGCAGCGCACTCGTAGCGAGAGGCCAGGTCCACGGTGGGCACCGTGCCGATGCTCTGCCCGTACAGGATGATGCTGTCCGGGCTGATGCCGTACCTGGCGGTGGGGCAGGGTCAGCCACCGCCGGCAGCAGCCGTGGCAAGCAGCACACACCCCTGCTACCCCCTGCCCTCCTGGGGCAGGCCCCCCCTCTCCCTGCGCAGCCTCCAGGCAATGGAGAGTCCCCCCTACGCACCACCCCTGTCCCCCAACAATGAACAGGTCTGCTCAGTGAGGAGGCAGGGCCTGGGCAGATGTGCAGGGGCCTGGCCCTAACCCTGTTTCAGCAACAGTATCAACTTGGATCACAGGTATGGAGTGCCCCTGGTGAGGGCCCCAAGGCCATGCTTGGGCTTCTGGGGGGCAGGGCAGTCCTGAGGCCTCTCCTGCTCCCCCCCCGACCAAGCCCCTATCCCCCCCACACACTTGACCAGGGACACACCCAGTCCTGGGAGCACAGGCAGGGAACCTGTCTTCCTCCCGGCATCACCCATCCTCTCGGCCATGAGAAATCACGGTAGCTGTGTCCCCTGATTTTATCAGCCAGTTTGCAGCCCCTCGGTGTCTAGCATGCCCAGTGAGGTGCTTAGCACAACACAGGTGAGTGGGAATGGCGGCTCCTGCGTGGAGGTGGGCCCCACCTCCCACGTCCAGGCCCCAGCCCTTCCCCCCACCCTGCCACCCGCCCCCCCACGACTCCTCTAGCACCACACCCTACCCCTAGCACAGCTGACCCAGCCCCAAGCCAGTTCCACAGCCTCCAAGTGCCCATTCCCATCTGCATGGGGACCCACTAGCCACCCTCCCCGGGTGAAAGGCCTCCATGATTCTCCTCCCACAAGCCTGGATCCTGATATACCAAGGGGATACCCCTCTGCATCTCATCTGTGCAACCTACCCAGGCAGCAAGACTCCACCTCCCTGTCTACCCAGGGGCCATCCACACCTGTCTCTGTCCTGGCAGCACTCCAGGTCACAGCTGCCTGGCCTCACGCCTACCACCCTGGCCGCCACTCCTCAGCCAGCGGCCACCACTGCGCCAAGCACCAGTCCAGCCCTAACCCTTGGACATCTCCAACTGGAAAAACAGGACAGGTGCCAGATGGAGCAACAATTCTTCCCCAGACCTCCCCAGCCCCTGGTCACCACTTGGGTCCAAGCCTCCTGCCCTCCCACTGACTCTTTCCCTGAGGGATCGGGTCTCTGGAAGACAGTGCTGGGAGCAGGACAGATGGTGGAATGGACAGAGCTCAGAGCCCTCACCCCAGAGCAGGGTGTGACCTGCCAGCCACCCCCAGCCAGCAGGAACAGCAGGAAGGGCTGAGAAAGCCAAGGGCAGCACGTACCTGCACCGCACTGCCCAGGAGGGGTCCCCAGTGCCAGGGTGGTGCCAGGGGACCCCACTCCTGGGGCCTGCAGCCCGGACTGCCTGATGCATCACTTCGGCAACCAGGGTCCCCACCTCCCCAGGGCAAGCTGACTTTGGTCCCTATAGGAACGGGTGGGGCGGGTTGGCCACGCAGGGCTGAGATGGGGCAGCCCCGAGAAGGCAGGAGGCAGGGCACCACCTCTAGGAGGGTCAGAGTCAGTCAGGGTGGCTTCCTTCCAGAGGATTCTTTGGATTCTCAGACACCAAGCAAATGTGCTTCAGTGAGCAAGCGGTAGGGTGGGAAGGGGGCTGCCCAGGAGCTGGATGAGCAGCATTGTGGAGGTCCAGGAAGGGAGGCGTGGCCCAGATCTCGGTGGCCCTGAGTCAAGCACACAGGTATGTGCTGGGGGCCCACACCCAGGGAGGACCTAGCCTCTGCTTGTTAGCCTCCCACCGGCCCCCAGGGCTGTGCTAGACACCGAGCTGCCTGATAGAACCCTCCAGAACCTTCCAGAACCCTCCAGGCCCAGAGGAGCCCCACCCCCAAGAGGAGACCACAGTCCATGGCCGCTCATGCCTCATAGGCCAGCCCTGAGAACAAAGCAGCCCCACTCTACCCTGCTAATCAAATGCTCCCTCGCTGCAGGATCTCCGTCTTTTCATACAGCCAGCACACACCAGCTCCTAGGCCTGCGTCCTCCATCCACCCAGTACAGGCGGAGCTTCCACTGCCCCAGGGACAGCCCCAGCCCATCCACACCCCTGCCAGGCAAGGGGTTCCCGGGAGGAGAAGAGTGCCCACCCCCCTCCCGGCACACCAAGCCTGCCTGTCACACCGAGGGGCCACCCAGTGTGGCCGCGGAGGGCTCCCTCCCCTGCAGGCCACCGGCCAGGACCCGGGAAGACTGGCCTGAGCCCGGGGCGGTCACCCGCACCCCAACATCAGGCCGGGGGCTCACCGGGTGCGCAGCGCCTGCCAGGCAGCGTCGATGTCGGCATACAGGTTCTTCTCGGAGGGCTTGCCCGAGCTGGCGCCGTAGCCCGAGTAGTCGTAGGAGAAGATGTTGCAGTTGATGCGCGAGCCCAGGCCGACGTAGAAGCTGCTCATCTGGCCCAGGTCCACTGCGTTGCCGTGGGAGAAGAGAACCGTGTACCTACGGTGGGGTGGGGGTGGGGGAGGACAGGTCAGAGGGCCCCGCAACCACCACGGACCAGAGTCCTGAGGGAGACAGGCCGCCTCTGCCACCAAGAGCCCAGCTCCTCCTGGCTGTGTGGTCTTGGGCAGGGGACAGCCAGCAGAGCCTCCGACGTCCCCTCTGGGAAAGGGGACCGCTGGGACCATCGGTCACAGTCTCGAAACAGGGTGGACTCACAGTGCGGGCTGAGCAAGCACAGTGACCGCCACGGGTACTCCCCCTGGGCAGCGGCTGTCTCTCCTCTGGAATCGCTCCTTTTAGAGGGACTCTGACAGCCCAAGGATGGCACGCACATATGCCCGCAGCTTGGAACCTTCCGGAGAAGGAGGCAGTGGCACCCACCCTTGCCCCCACAAATGAATAAAGCCCCCTACTCACAGCACCTCTTCCCACTCCCAGAGAACATGACCCCAGCACTCATTTCTGCCCTGCAAGGCTGCTGGCAGATCAAGACCTGCCCCAGGCCACACCGACAGGCTGGATCCTGGCCAATGGACTCCTACAATTTTCTTCCTCCAGCACCCCTGGGCCCCAGCCTGCCTAAAAGGTAAACACTTGCCCTTTGAACTCAGACCTGGAGTAAGAACCCCACCTGTTCTAAAGGCAGAAACACCTGGATGGCCCCACCTCTTTCCCACTGCGGTACTCAGGGAAGAGCTGAACTTCAGGCCCCAAGGACACCCTGGTAAGGAGGAGTCAGACTTGGCCTGAGCCACCTGCCAGGCCTCGGGTGCCCTGGCCCCAAAGCGAACGCCAAGGCCTCACTGAACACCAAGCACCCAGGAGCCCTTCCCTGGGCAGGTGAGCACCGAGACCCTGAAGCAGGCAGCCCCTCATCAAGCAGGTGTGACATGGCCCCTCAGAACCGCCTCCCCATGCCTCGGGGCACTTATCTGCAGAATGGGACTGCAGCCAGAAGGACACCCGGCATTTAGGGCCCAGGGCAGTCCCACGTGGCCTTGGGCGGAACGAGGCCTGCTCTTGGTGGGTGTGATCTGCCACCCCTTTGGCAAAGTGAGTCCCCAGGGCACCTGCACTCCCACCTGGGTGCTGGCCCTCCGGGGAGACCTCTGGCAGGAAACAAGAGGCCCAAGGACGGAGCCATCCTGCCCCAGGAGCCTCCCAGGTCTCCCTTACTCGGTCCTTCCACCCCTCCACGTGGTGTCCGGGCCCCATCCCAGTTCCATCCAGAAGACTCACCTGGCGCTGGGCACACAGCGCACGTACATGCAGGAGATGCGGTTGCCCCGGCTGCTCTTGGTCAGGAAGACCTCAATGGTGTCCAGCTCGCGCTGGCCATACTGGAAATCCGCACGCTCCATCAGGTGGAGCTTCCAGCGCCCAGGGGTGCCGGCAGAGGCCCGCAGAGTCCCCGAAGGGGCGGCCCCGGCTCCGCCAGGCCCCGGCTCAGGCTCGGGCACCAGCGAGTAGGTAGGCTCTGGCGGCAGGAAGGCGAGCTTGGCAGCGATGCGGCCGGGGCAGGGCGGGCAGCAGAAAAGGCAGCAGAGCTCGCTCACTGACAGGCCGTTCATGGCGGGCACCGGGCCCCAGGGTGGGCCTCGCGTGGCAGGGGAGGGGTGGGGGTGCTCTGAGACGCGGGCAGGGGGGAGGGCAACCCCCAGCCACCGCCCCAGACAAGAGCCCCCTTAGGAGGCCGCAGCCCAGCCCCATCGTGGTCCAAGCCGAGCCCTCGGGAGCCTCGCAGACTTGCGTCTCCATGTCGTGCAGAGGGCAGCCCTGCAGGGGAAAAGAGAGAGGTGGGGTTCCCTCGGGGTTCCGCTAGGAGGCGGGTGACCCAATCTCATCCATACCAAGCTTCTTGGCCTTCCGCACAGCCCAGTCCACCCTCTTCTGCCCAAACTGCTCCACCCTCCATCCCATGGACCTGTGGGCCCAGCTCGTCATCCGCAGGGTTCAGGTACCTCCCAAGGGACCTTGTGGGACCCAAAGCTGACCAGACCAGCATGTGCTATACCCTTCCTCAGAGCGCAGTTACCGACTCTTGCCACGTAAGCCTCCACCTGTCAGCCCAGCCTTGGCCTGCAGGCTGTGCTGGGCGATCAGAACCCTGGCTCACCCCAGCTGTCCCCCCACACAGCCCCTGCTCTGGGCTCACACATACCCTGTTACCCTCCCTACGCCTCTGTCCACACAGCTGGCCCAGACTCTCCCCCCAGCCCATCTCCGTGCTATCCAAGGAGTCATTGGCCACCCCCAAGTGACACAAAGCAGCCAAGGGAAGGACAGACTGCTGCCTGGAGAGACCTGGGAGCATGCTCCAGGGGGCCAGGCCTTGCGGGGCAGGACTGCACTGTCCAGAGGCAGGGGACATACAACAAACAAAGGCTCTGGTAACAAAAGCAGGATACATCTAGAGGCTGAGCTGGGACAATGGCTCTCCCCTGTGCTGGGGCCAGGCTGGGGGGAGGGGGCCCTGGAGCCTGAAGGAGTTCCTGCTTCAGCTCTACCAACTTAGGGCTCTGTGGCCTCGGGCAAGGCTCACTCCCTTCCTGGGCCTCTGTCTCCTCACTTCCCAGTGGAGACACCTCTCACCTCCCAGGGGGAGTAAATGAGAGAACTAGGCAGTGGACGGGGCCGGGGCAGGGTGGGGGAACACGACTCAGAGACACACACAGTACACGTCACACAGACTGCAGCTAAATCACTAAAGCAACTCAATACCACACGGCGCTGCCAACGCTGAAAGGAATCCAAAGGTTTGAGAAAGACCTAACCACGCAGTAGGCCCTTCCTTACAGACCGGGACGAGGGGGACCTTCACAGCTCGGTCATAGCAGCAGAGCACCCCGGCACGTGCAGTTTTAGGGCCAAAGCATTCGCAAACCACTGGGCCAGGGACACACCTGCCCCTGCGGACCTGTGATCTGCCACCAAGTGCTGGAGAGAGCCACAGCCTGCCTCTGCCCAGATTTGGGGCACACAGCAGGGAGTGGGCAGGAGCTGTGAAAGCCACGGTGTCCCTGAACTTGCAGAACTCCCCGGCGGGATGCGCACTGCACGCCAAGTATTAACTATTATTCTCATTCTCGGGTGCAGGAGGTTTGCCCCCCAGGACACTGGCCAACACAGGGGAACATTTTGGGTTGTGACGAACGGGGAAGGATGCTCCCGGCACTGAATGGGTGGAAGCCAGGGATGCCGATGGACACTCTACAGAGCACAGGATGCCCTCCCCTTCGACATATTCTCAGAGATCCAGATCCACACCTCCCCACTGGTACTGGGGAGGCAGAGAGGGGCTGGCGTTTGAACATCCGGTGAATATCGGTTTCAAGAGGAAGGCCTAGCTGAGAGCCAGGTGGGCAGGTAGGAGCCCCCCGGCAACTGAGGAAATGAAGGGGCACACCCAGGTGGACAAGCCCCACTGCCCAAGCCAGAAACATGGATGTCATCCTTGACTCCTCCTTCCACTGGGGTCTGATAGGTCTTCCTCCAACCAACACCTCGTCCACATGCTGGCCACCTTTCACCTGGGCCACTGCACTGCCTGGTTGCTTGCTGCCCACCCCACACCACTCTGCCCGGCAGCCACACTCCTCTCCCAGCACAAACCCAAGCACACCATCTTTCTTCTGGATGCCCCTGGCCTCCCGCTATTTTCAGGCTAGAAATTGAACCCCCACTACAGCCTCTCAAGGGCCAACCTCTGCAGCCTCACTCACCGTGTACCCCACTCCCGTCGATCTCCCCAGACAAGCCAAAGTCCATGCCGTTGCCCTGCCAGGGACCCCCTCCCCCAATCTCACTATATGGCCCTTGCCCCTTATCCTGTCCACCCTCTGGATCTCCCCTCCAGCGCCCTTGGAGAGGCCTTCCAAACCAGGTCAAGACGCCCCATGCTCTCATAGTTCCAGGTCTGTCTCCACAGCACTCACCACAGCTTGTATTTACATGTTTAACCAACCCCCCCACCCCCCAGGACAATCAAAGAGAAACTCCATGAGGGCAGGACAGCTCTCTGCTCTTGCTCAGTAAACACCGGCAAAACGAATGAGCAAATGACAAGAGGTAAAGACAAATGGAGGAAGCTACAGAGTCTGCCAGGCTTGACAGGGAAGGAGGGCAGTCTTTTCTTGGGCCACACATACCTGGACCTCCCTCGTGCCATTTATGAGCGTCAGTGAGTGAGCCCTGAGAGCGGGGCCTCCGACCGGGCAGTGCACACCCACTGCTTCACTCAGTGGACACAAACCCCTGGCACCCAGTGCCCCAGCAGTTCCGTCCACAAGTGCACACTGGGCACTCTGCCACCAGCCCCCCCCCCCCCTGCCCCGGCCACCAGGCCCAGTGAGGGCTGCTGGTGTTCTGAGGACCAACAAGGAACCAAGCAACTGCAATATCTAGGATGACCTAAATACGAACGATGGCCACGGCACCTCACCCAGCCAGTCGGGGTGGGAAAGCTGCCTGGAAGAAGGTGCAGTCTGAAAGGTGCAAAGTGGCCGGGTCACAGGGAACAGGGCAGAGCAAAACCCGAGGCGACGGCGAGTCCCAGGAACTGCAGGTCTCCCACTTGAGTGGACAAGGGGAGGAAGAGGTGACCAGAGGGGTCCCAGAGGGCGCCAGGGTTGGGCCAGGCCGCGCCCGGGAGCCCTGCTGCAGAGTCTGGACTCCGTCCTGGAGGAGTCCTGGGCCGAGGACAGACACCACGGGTTAGGGGCTGCGGTGTGTTCCCGGGCTGCAACCTGGAGATCCAACGGGAGCGGAGACCGGGGAGCCCACCCAGGTGTCCCAGGCGGCCGGAAGATGCCTGCGAAGAGGCAGAGGCGTCCGGGAGACGTTTGGGAAGCAGGGCTCCGCCATGGGATGCTGCGGCGGGCCCGGGTGTCGGGCCGGGCGGGGGGTGGTGAGGTGGGGGGTGGTCGGCGGCTGGGGGCGTGGGCAGTCCACGACTCGGACGGCGCTCGCCCCGGGGGGGGGGGAGCGCGTCACCCGGAGGG